GTTCTAGGAAGCCTGTCCTGATGTCCTGGCTCGATCAATTTGTCCTCCTATGGCCTACAGCCCCCCTGCCCAGGGCTCACTCACAGTTCTCTTGGCACCATAGAAGACTTGCCAGGCCATGAGCCCACTTGCTTCAGGCCAGGTGAGGAGGCAGCTATACTTGAAGAGAAGCACAGGCTTTAATCCCAGCTCTGCTTCTGCTATGTGACCTTGAGCAAGTCACTGAACCATGTGAGTGCAGTGTTCTCATCTGTAAAATGGGGACAATAACAACTACCTCACAGGGCTGATTAAATGAGATCATGCATGGCTGGGACTACACAAATGGCAGCTGTATTATCATAGCTCATTGCCTGGCACACTGGTTAGTAAATGTGTGTCGAATCCATTAGCCCCTCTGATTGCTCTCTTCCTTGCCCCACCTACCGTCTCTGCCTTGGAAGGGGAAAAGTGGCATGAACAAAAAGGATTTGGGGGCAGATAGAATGGGGGTTGGGAGATGGGCGAGCCCGGCCTTTGGCATCGCTGGGAGCTAGCCGCTCCAGTAGCCCCTAGAGCTTTGCTGGAGGCGGTGCAGGTGTCATCTCTCAGCCCTGTGACCCACCTGTGCCATCATCCTTATCATCTAGGTGAGGCAGCGAGAAGTAGAGCTGGGATCCCATCTGCACTGTGGTTCTCCGAAGCTGCCCAGGGCCCGCTGGCACACAGTAGGTGCACCTCGAATGCTGAGTGGCCAGAGGCAGAAATTTTGAATGAATGCGAACGGTGTGATTGAGCAGTTGGACGCATGAATGGAAGTGGATGGAAGCGTGAGTGGCAGGCGAGAAGGAATGAGCATCTCCCTCCGCCCTCCGGGTCTCGGGACTAGGAGACAAGAAGCCGAGACCGGTTGGGGGCTCCCTTCCCCGCCCTGCCCCTCCTGCCCCTCCCGGCGGCACGCAGCCCGGTGGAGCCGGCGCCAGCCACAGCCCGCTTTGGAGCCACAGCCCCCCTAGGAGCCTGGCCTTCGGGGCAGGGAGGCGAAGTTCCCAGTGCAAGGTTCGGGACCAGCAGCCAAGGACGCCGGGGTCTCGGAACCAACAGGTGCGGGATGTGGGGTACCCCCAGGCCCGGGGTAGGGGTTCCAAAGTATCCTCCGCAGGAGCCAAGAGTCTCAGGGGATAACCTGGGTGCTGGGAGGCTGAATCTCCCGCAGGCTTCCTCCTGGCAGGCTCCTGCAGAACCCCTAACGCCCAAACTCCTCCTCCCCAACGCCACAGCCCCCCTCCCTCAGTCCCCGAAATGCAAGGAACGTCCCGCTCAGGGAGTGGGTCTGCCGACACTCGGCGGGAGTATGAAGGAGCTCCCTGCCCCTCTCCCAGGGATCTCTAGGGACCCGCAACCCGCCTACACAAGTCCGGGGTCGTCCCGGCCCAGCCACGGGGAAGGAGGGGTCTGAGCAGCGACCAGGGGCGGGGAGCGAGGCCAGATTTATGAATGGAGGGTGCAGCCTGCGCGCGGGCCCAGCGACTCCTGGCGGCCGCCGGGACGCATTGCGGCCCCCGGGATTCAAGATGGGGCTAGCCGGGGGGCTGAGCCGGGCGTGGAGCGCTCTCCTCATTTCCAGAGAGGTTATCAGTGCCTCCCTGCACCCTTCCCCCCACCGTGTGTGTGTGTGTGTGTGTGTGTGTGTGTTGGGGTGTGGGACGGGGGTGTGTGCGCGCGCGCGCACCGGGAAGGGTCTGACAGGTCCGATGGGCGGGGCCTGAGTCTCTAACGCCTGCCTTGACTTTTTTTTCCAACCAAAAATTCTGGTTGGAATGGACTCAGGGGTGAATATTTGCAATCAGCTGGCTTTCTCTCCCAAGTCTGTGGTGTTCGGTGGCTTCAGACAGACCTGGCATAGCAGCTTTGTGACCTTGAGCAAGGGTCTCAACCTCTCTGAGCTTCCATCTCCTCTGTAAAGCAGGATTCTCTAGTCATGGGAAGCTGGCTTTCTGTGTTGGTTTCTGGATAAAACACTAGGCGTGCTTTAGAGCTCATTACTCTCCTCCGCGGTCCCGTGAGGTAGGTACGGTCATTACTTCATTGTATGGACGGAGAAACAGAGGATGAAAGGGGAGAGCTTTGTCCTCCACCACAGTCCACAGGACTGTGAGAATTAAGATATAATTTATATACAAATTGCCTGGCATAGTCCCTAATGTTTCCTTTCTTCCTCCCTCCCTTTCTTCAGGAGGTTTGGGTCTGGAACCCCCAAAAGACCTGGGTGCAAGATTCCGGGGCCTGAGGGAAGTGGGCCGAAGCCTGGCCCGGGCTCCCCTCCCTCCGCAGAGCCCATGATGCCCCTCTGCCGCAGCAGCTCCTGAGCTCATGGAGCCCTCCGCCACCCTAGTAGCCCAGACTGGGGTCCCCACTGGCAGTGGAGAACCGTCTCCCGTGCCTCTCGACTACGAAGATGAGTTTCTCCGCTATCTGTGGCGCGATTATCTGTACCCGAAGCAGTACGAGTGGGTCCTCATCATCGCCTACGTGGCTGTATTCCTCGTGGCTCTGGTTGGCAACACGCTGGGTAAGTCCCTATGTCCTCGTGCTGCTGCGGGATTCCCCAGGGAACTGGAAGGGGTCCTAGGCCTCTCTTCTCTTCCTCTCTCCCCAGCCCCTATCTCTCCGCACCGATAGTGTGGGGCAGGGGGGCGGGGGGAGGGGTTGGTTAAGAGCCTGAGCTAGGATGGGCATGGCTTGGCCCCTGGCTTCACTTCATCCCCATGCCATCCCTCAGTCTGCCTGGCCGTGTGGCGGAACCATCACATGAGGACTGTCACCAACTACTTCATTGTCAACCTGTCCCTGGCTGATGTGCTGGTGACAGCCATCTGCCTGCCGGCCAGCCTTCTAGTAGACATCACTGAGTCCTGGCTCTTCGGACCTGCCCTCTGCAAGGTCATCCCCTATCTACAGGTGAGCTCTGTCCTTGTGCCCCTCATCACCTTCCTGTCACACCCTTCAAGTTAAAAAACCATGGCCTTTCAAAGGATGTGACCCTCAGACATGCCTTTCAGACAGAACACAGTGGCTCAGTACCTCTGTGGGCCATCCTCTACTGTTGGCCAGAGCGAAGACAAGCCTGACGCTGGAGGGTACAGACAGCTCCACATACTCACACAGAGATCCTTTCTCCTCCCTTTCACACACACAGCCATGTGTGGACACATACACAGTGATCTCCAGGCACACCACACACAGTGGAGGAGAGAGGCACAAGCTCACAGTGGCAGACACAAATGCACATAGGCCTGCTTCCTGATCCCAAGGAGAGTAGATTTGAGGAGGCCTGCTAGAAAGGCTCCTTCCCTTCTCCCCACCCCTGGCCAGCGCTTCCCTCGCATTGAGAATCAGGATGTCCAGATGTGGTTGGGGGGGAGTGGAAGGAGGGCCAGAGGCCAGAATGGCCCCTCAGTTGCATTCCTCAACTGTCTCCTATACCCCAGAAGGTGGGGGCACTCCTGGAGGCATTGCCCACCTACACCTGGAGCGTAGGCTCATCCCTGCCTCCCAGAATGAGGCCTGTTTCTCAACAGCCTGAGGAAGGGATAGCATCCCAGGGCAGTGAGGAATGCTTCTTGGATTTCCCACTGTTTTGAGGTTTTTCCATTCAGCTGATTAACTCTAGCAACCCTGAGAATAAAGACAGGCAGATGAGGAAAATCACCCTGGGAGATATTTAACCTTCCTTGCCTCAGTTTCCTCTTCTGTAACAGGGGATGAGTCCCCACCTCATGGGATTGCGGTGAGGATAATGAGGACAATGTCTGGCATGTAGGAAGTTCCATAAGTGTTAAGTTATTATTCATAGCAGGGGAGCACCTACTCTGTGCCAGGTCTCAAGCTGGACATTTTCTAGCCATGATTTCATTTATTCTAATGAGAATCTTGCCAGGTGAATGATGTATTCCCACTCTGCAGGTGAGGCTTAGAGAAGGAGAGTGATTTGCCCAAATTTACACAGCCAGTAAGTGGCGGGGTCAGGATGTGCACTGCATCTAGCTGCTTGGTATTTCTGGGCTGTGAGCCCCATCATTCACCCCATGTCTCTGGGTGACACTCGAGAGGACTGACATTGTGTCCCCATGGGACAGGCCGTGTCTGTGTCAGTGGCAGTGCTGACTCTCAGCTTCATCGCCCTGGACCGCTGGTATGCCATCTGCCACCCGTTGTTGTTCAAGAGCACCGCCCGGCGTGCCCGTGGCTCCATCCTAGGCATCTGGGCTGTGTCGCTGGCTGTCATGGTACCCCAGGCTGCTGTTATGGAATGCAGCAGTGTGCTGCCTGAACTAGCCAATCGCACCCGGCTCTTCTCTGTCTGTGATGAACGCTGGGCAGGTAATGGCGGGAGCCTTGGGCAGGCATCCGCGAAGTGGGCACCTCTGAGTCACATACTCCCCTAGAGCAGAAATTTGTCAGGGAATCCAGGGTGGGTGTCTTCTCAGAGGACACTCTAGACCAGGCATCTACCAACTGCAACTCCAGGGTGGGTACCTCTTCTAGTACAGACATCTGCTAGGGATTCCTTCAGGATGGGCACCCCCAGGTTGGGCAACTCCAAGGCTCTCTCTGCCATGGTCCCTGTATGGGGCTCAGCTGCTTGCTTTGGCCTTAGTTGGGACAAGGTGGCATTGCTTACCAGGAAAGGCTGGGAAGTCCCACATTGGGCCCAAACTTTCCATCTTTTGGTTCCTACAGATGACCTCTATCCCAAGATCTACCACAGTTGCTTCTTCATTGTCACCTACCTGGCCCCGCTGGGCCTCATGGCCATGGCTTATTTCCAGATCTTCCGCAAGCTCTGGGGTCGCCAGGTGAGGCCCACTCTGGTGTGGCTATTTGGGCTGGGAGGGGATGGAGTGCTGGTCTAAAAGACTAGACAGTTCTTTGCCTTCAGAACATGCCATCCTGTCTGCAGCCAGAGAGAGGCAACACCCAGGGACATATCAAACTCAAAGCCAAAAGCACTACTGCCAATCCTGGAACCAAACAGTAACTGGTATTGTTCTAGTATCAGTAGCTGCCACTGATTGTACCATGCACCTCCAGGCAGTCTTGCATCCTCTTACCCACCATATATTATCCCCAACTTAATATATGAACAAACAGACCCAGAGAGGCAAAGCAACTTCTCCCAAGTCCCTCCTTCAGTGAGTGGAAGGGCAGGGACTCGAACCCAGATCTGTGGGATTCCAGTGCTCAATTCAGCGCCTGAACAATAGCACCTCCATGTTGCTTGCCAAATTAGGCATGTTGCCCACAATGTCTTCATAACTATCTGACCAAAGCAGCAACGTTACCCATTCTGAACATGCTGAGTGGCAGAGCCTTCCTGGTTCCAGGGCCTGCCTTCTTCTCCCTATTACAAACTGACCGCAGCAGATTTTATGCAGTATTTATTGTGGTGGGTGGGGGGAGGAGGAAATGTGGGGAGTGCTTAGAGGCCCTTGGCACCAGCAGGAGTGAGTCCTGGGTCAGTGTCGGGTCAGTGTCTGGACAGTGAGAGGATGCAAGCTAGAACATGGCCAGCCTTGCAGTCTACCAGCACGTGCCACCTGCTCCTCACAGCTCCCAGGCAAGGTGGCAGCAGTCGCTCTCCTCATCTAACAGACAGGAAAATCAAGACTCTGAAAAAGAAAGTGAGTTAACCAAGGTCACATGGCTCGGTCCTGGGTCAGTGTCGGGTCAGTGTCTGGACATTGAGAGGATGCAAGCTAGAACATGGCCAGCCTTGCAGTCTACCAGCACATGCCACCTGCTCCTCACAGCTCCCAGGCAAGGTGGCAGCAGTCGCTCTCCTCATCTAACAGACAGGAAAATCAAGACTCAGAAAAAGAAAGTGAGTTAACCAAGGTCACATGGCTATGGCTGATGAATGGCTGAGCTGGCCCTAGACCCCAAGTCTCCTGGACTCTAGCCTCATGCCCTCTGCTGCGGGGTGATTCAGGCATCCAGTGGTAGAAGAGGCTTCAGGAATATCAATGGCTGCGCCAGGAGCCTGGAACCATCATAGTCTGATGGGTACTGACCCAAGGCTGGGACCTGTGCTCTGAGGCCCAGGTCATTCCATGCTACCCACCTACTTGCCCCTTGCCCAGACTTCCCCATAGGCAGGCATGGGCCAGCGGGAGGCACAGCTCACCTCCACTCCTACCCTACAGATGGAGGTGGTGATCTTAGGAGATGGTGATCCAAGAAGGATGGATGGGCAGCTGGGAGGATGTTGTCAAGTGTCCCCTGCCTCTAAGTTGCCTCATCTGAAACTGAGGGCCAAGAATACCTTCCCCAAAGGCACGTTGCGGGTGGTCTCACAATGAGCTAATGAAAAATGAAGGTATGGTGTTCACCCTCAGTCCAGTCTTGGTCTTTATCATGAATATTAGGTTCCTTCCTATTGCAAGGGTTTGTTCCCCTCATCCACCTCCACCTGCCCCAGGCTCCAGCCTGAAGCAGAGCTCTGAAAAGGAAACCGACCTCCCACCACGAGCTCCTCCCACCAGGAGCTTCTCCCACGGGAAGCTCCTCCTACCATCGCTGTCTCTGTGCTGGACAGATCCCTGGCACCACATCGGCCCTGGTGAGAAACTGGAAGCCGCCCTCAGACCAGCCGGAAGAGCAGGGGCAGGACCCCAGTGCAGAACCTCTGCCTAGGGCCCGGGCCTTCCTGGCTGAGGTGAAGCAGATGCGTGCCCGGAGGAAGACAGCCAAGATGCTGATGGTAGTGCTGCTGGTCTTTGCCCTCTGCTACCTGCCCATCAGTGTCCTCAATGTCCTTAAGAGGTGAGAACACGTGGGGAGACGGAGTGGGTGGTGGTGGTGGGGTCAGAGGAAGGAGCTCTCTCTGCTTTGGAGAGAGACCTGGCTCCATGCCAAGGCCATGGTGTGACCTTGGGGAAGGTCATTTCTCTTCTCTGGGCCTCAATCTCCTCATCTGTAACATGTGAATAACTACAGTCCTGACCTCCTAGGACTACTGTGAATATTCTTTCATCCACTCATCAGACGGTAGGGCTGAAAACACAGTGAACAGTGCACAAGACAGAGTCCCTGCCATTACAGAGACTACGTCCAGTGGGAGAGAGAAATAAATACATAGTATAACTGCTATGAAGAAAAATAAAATAGTGAAAGTGGATAGAGAGTGACAGTGACAGGGGTTGGTGTTTTGTTTTTGTTTTTTAAATCTTTTCTAAGATATCATGGTTTTTACAAAGCCTCTTTGAGGAAGTGACATTTGGCAGACTAGAAGGAAGGGAGGGACCAAGCCCTGTAGGAGGGACAGCGTGCTAAACAGAGGGAGACAGGGGCACCACAAGTGAGAGGCCATGAGGTACAAGGAAAGAACAAGGAGTATCTGACATGATACCATCTCAGTGTGAGTTTGTGCTTGGCTGCTCCATGGCTATGTGACCTTGGGCCTGTCGCATAGCCATGTTCAAGACTTCTTTGAGCCTCAAATAGTTTCCCTCTTTGAAAAATGGATGGTGCCTATGACTCCCATCATGCTGCTATCAGGATGGATGAGAAAGTAGGTGGGGAGCCTCAGGGGATTAGATAGCTGGTAACTGAGCAGATGTACCCTAGTCCCTGTCCCTGGGCCTACTCTAGTCATACTCTCTGTTGCTCAAGACAAAAAACTGTAGTCAAGACCCCAGACCCAGGAAAGGGCTACCAGGCGGACGGAAGGGTAGCTTCTGTACTTTCCAGACCTGTAGCTTGAGTTCTATGAGCAACGCCACACAAACGCGTATACACACATCTGCCCCATTTCTGACTGTCCTGTCCTCTAGGGTGTTCGGGATGTTCCACCAAGCCAGCGACCGAGAAGCTATCTATGCCTGCTTCACCTTCTCCCACTGGCTGGTGTATGCCAACAGCGCTGCAAACCCCATCATCTACAACTTCCTCAGTGGTAAGTGGGCTGGGGAGACAGAGTGACTGAGGGCAACAGTCCCCAGGAAAATAGCCTCCCTATCCCCAGCCTAGGCTGAATAAAGGATGACAGGGGAGGAGATACTTGCTCCTTTCCAGGAATCCTAACCCTGCTCTGGGAATTCCCACTCAGGGAGAAGACTTGGCCCTGCCCAGGAGCCTTGGTCTGAATGGGAGACCAGCCACACTCTCAAATGTGGCCAGAAAAAGCTAACCACCACTCAGGACCCAGTTTTGCAGATTATACAGATCAGCGAGTGGGTGGGAAGGAGAGCAGATAGACCAGCTCATCTCTACCCTTGCCTGGTGCATGCACAGCAGGACTTCCAATGAGCCCCTCTGGTTAACAGAAGCTCCAGAGGGACCCATGCCTGTGGGAAGAGGGCCTGAGGAGATGACTGCATAATTGGGGTGTCAGAGGAAAGAGAGGGTCACCAGCAGAGGCAGCCCCAGGCAGGGAGAGGGCTTTCTCAGGCTTGATACACACTAGCAGAGGAACCAGAATTTGGAGGGCTATCCCTGGATCCAGCCTCCTCCAGCACTAGCCTTCCTACTCCTCTCTCTGGAATTCCAGGCCTGCCGGTCCCTCACCCCCACTAGGGCCTCCTCTCAGCTGTCCCACAGTTCCTATCGGCTCCCTCTACCTCAGTCTCAGAGTGGTCATGCACCTCTAACTTTGACTCAGCAAAAGTGTGACTCACCAGACCTCTGACTCTGGGACGAGGCCTAAAGGACTGGTCCAGATGACTGTTCAAGCCTGGACACAAATAATCTTCAAGAAAAGGTTGAAAGGGACCAGGGGTCAATGTTATAACCCTCACTGAGGCTCAAGAATTACTGAACAGAGGCTGGCCGGATGGTTTGCAGCTCAGAGAACAGAAGGGGTGAATGGAGTGCTGCAGTGTTTGGTCTACATTTACTGAGCACCTACTGTGTGCCTGGCCCTTTGCTGGGCACCAGAGAGGCTGGCGGGATGATGAAACATGATCAAGGAGGTTTTGGTTCCAGACAAAATCCTGTTTCTCTGGTGTCCCTCGGCTGAACACGGTGGCCGTGGTAGTTGCTCCTTCACCACTCTCGTACTCGTTAAGCAAAGGGCTTTGGCATTAGAAATGGTCCGCCTTCTGGCTGGGTGGTGACCTTGGGCAAACCACCACAGCTCTGTGTGTCTCATCTGTGAAGTGAATTTAAAGGACCCCACCTCTCCTGGGGGTCAAGGCCAAGACACCTGTTTACGGTGCCTGGTGTGAGGGCTACTACTGCTGTCACTTTCATCACCTTGGAGCAGAGACGGGGAAAGCCTAGACGGAAGGTGAGCCCCAAGCTCCTCCACCTACACAACAAGGAGGGCAGAGGTGACCTGAGGCCCCTGAGCCAGAGGCCACGTTTTGAGCTGAGCTCAGAGCCAGAGCACAGTCAAGGAATCAGATAAAAATTGCACTTCTCCTTGGAGACCCACTCTGAGTGAAGCCTCTGTCCTCACTCTTCCTGGCAGTGAAGGGGTGGCCCTGGGGCATTCTCCCTCCCAGCTCCACCCTTCCCTCCCGCCCCCTCACAGGCAGCTTGGTTGGAGTTGCGTGGGTGTCCTTGGGCCCAAGGCACCTTCCCGCTACACCTGTCTCCTTATGGCTGTGTCTTCTGTCTCCCAACTAAGGTAAATTCCGGGAGCAGTTTAAGGCTGCCTTTTCCTGCTGCCTGCCTGGCCTGGGTCCCTGCGGCTCTCTGAAAGCCCCCAGCCCCCGCTCCTCTGCTAGCCTGCACAGCCGGTGCTCCGTCTCCAAAGTCTCAGAGCACGTGGTGCTCACCAGCGTCACCACGGTGCTGCCTTGAGCAAGGGCTATTGGCTCCTGGGGGACCAGCCCCTACTCCTTGTGGAAGGACTGTTGGATGCAGTGCAAGGCCAGGGCTCCAGTCCTGGTTTTCTACCTGTTTGACTCTGGGCAAGTCACTTCCCTTCTCTCTGTGTCCCCTGAACAGGACTGATGTGAGGATTAAGCATGCTCAAGAAAGTGGAAAGCAATTTGTAAAGTGTAAAGTGTTGTGGACAAGATTATCGTTGCATTCCTCTCACTTGGCCATATGCCACAGTACCATCCATCCTCATCATCCTTGCAGAGCTTGGCCTTCCTCCCAAACACCCCTCTCCTACCCAATTACCAGCCTTCCCTGGAGTCTGCTAGAAGGGCCCCAGCAGGCATTTCCATCTGGCCCAGTGGCTCCCTAAAGCCTCGGCTAGACTTGGCCAGCCACTCTGATGCCCGGTGAACTCATCTGGGCCCAGCCCTTCTCCTGTGGGAACACAGCCCCATGCTCACCAGGTGCCAAGCGCACGCACTGTAGACCGGACCCTTTTGGCTTTGTGGTGTGATAAAACACTTTCCATGTTGCCATTTAGCATGGAGGACAGCAGCCCGAAGCAATTGTAATTAAAAGCCTGGCACTGAATGTTCCCTTTCCTTGTAATTGCACAAAATCTATGCTTAGGTTAGGAACAAGGAAGGTGGGGAAGTCAGTGCAGGGGTGCAGGTGGGGAAGGAAAACAGGCAGCACTGGAATGCTGTTACCTAGGGACTACTCCCACCTCCCATCCCCCAACACACTGCATCCCAGATGGGCTCCTAGCCAGGCCTGAGCACACACAGTGCTGCTTCCTCAGCAGTACCAATTCTGATGCTCGGGATCTCGATCCTTGGCATATCTGTCTGCTCACAGGCCCCGAGGCCTTTGGAAGGTAAGGGGGTAAGGTGGGCAAACAGTGGGGTTAACAGACGACTATTCTCTGCACCTTCTTGGAAATTAGGGCTTGCATTTATTCTCTATGAACTCACTGGATAATAAGAGAAAGCCACAGACTTGGCTAGACGTGCTCTGTCTGCCACCAAGATGATCAGCGGGCTGCCAGATGCCTTGATCCTTGTTGCCAGAGCAGAAGGTGGAACACAGTCTGAAGTACTGCTCTGCTGAGAGAGGCAGGGGACATCTGGCAGAGGTCAGCCCAGCCGTGCGCACCACTGGGTCTGCTTAGTCTGATTAATGGAGCTATGGGCTCCTTCTTGACCTCACCTGTCTAGAAGTGGGGTGAAACCATGATCCTGCCAGGGGCCCAGTCCAGAGATTTTTAGGCATCACACGGGTGGGTGGAAGGTGTAGTCTATCATCCCACTCTATAGATCACTCACCAACCCTGCTCTCATGGACAGTTCCACAGATATGCAGGTGTGGCCAGGTGGGCTGGGCTATACTGCCCATTCTGCACTCCTGCTGGCTTTAGGATCCAAAGCTGTTTGTCAAGTTTGATGCCAGGCTTGGAGGTGCAGTGTGCAGAAGGAGGTGTGAGGGTTGGCCCCCAAGCTCAGAACCAACCATGCCTGCAAGTACCAACCTAGGTCCTGGGCTCCCTGGCCTCAGGTGAGCACCAGCTGAGACTATGATTGGCACTAATCTGAAGATGGGTTTTAGTACATGCTTGGCTCAGTGGGAACAAAGAAATGACAGAAACTTTCCATAATGGCAGTAGTTCTACTCTACTGGTTGAACCCAGTGCCATGGTGAGCCCAGGGCCTCCATTTGGGGGACTTGGATGAACTGGAGATAATTCAGGGGAGGTGCCAAGGGGAGCGATGCTCAGTCAAGAGTTGCTGAAGAGCTTGGGAGGACTTGGGGGAAATGTGGTAGCAGATTCCAAGTATCTAGAAGGCTGGCATGGAGAAAGGGGTGATATATGTTCTGGGTGGCCCAGAAGAGAAAACCGTAGCCAATAGGTGGTGGTTTCCAGGTGGCAAGATTTGGAAACCACATTGGGAAGAAGGTTCTAGGAGTCAAGGAGGAAATGGGCTGCCTAGAAAGGCACTGAGTTCTTTGTCATTGGAGATCGGCAAACAGAGGCTGGACTCACAGTGGGCCATGGAGGGGATTCTAGCTCTGGACGGGAGCTGGCTTCCAGGAACTGGATTCCATCAAATTCTAGGACTCCAGTAGTACAGAGAATGAACAGGGTTGAACTGGCTGAGCCCAACATACCTGCTGGGCCTGAGGTGCCGAAAAGTCATAGCTTCTTTTCCCAACCACCCACTGCAGGGAGGGGAGCCCCTGCTTAGGGCCTGGAGTTCTTAATCTTTGCCCCTCCAAAGCAAAAGGATATCACGCCATTCCGTAGGATAGGGTCTCCCAGGCAAATCAGAATGTTTGGTGACTTGGCTTTTGACTGAAATTTCATCAGCTCGCTATAAGCATTCGGTATAGACTGGATTATCACGCTGATCTGAAGACCCAACAGGCAAGCTCAGATGTTTGTGCTTAATAAAAATGGGGGTAAAGCTATAATAATAAATGGAGTTTGTCTGTAAAATAAAACCGGGGCTTGAGATAATAAAAAGGCCATACTGTAAAAAGTTTAGGGCAGCTGCTTCCATCCCAAAATGCTAGCCCTAAAACTGTTATAAAACACAAGGTCAGCTTCTTGAGCTGACCCCAGATCCCTACCCTTCAACTTCATCCTGGTAAATGGGAGCAGCCTTATGTAGACCATGTACCCCTGAACTGCCTTTTTTTTGCATGGCATGGTATAGAGGATGTACTCAAACATTCATTGAATGAAAGAATAAATCAAAGAATAATGGAATGGATGAGCATATAAACCCATAGCTGGGAAGGTGAGGTAGAATATGTGGAACAGAGTTTTATCATTTTATTGAAGTTTATAGTTTCACTGGACTTTTGGCCCCAAATGAACAAAACATTTTAAACAAAATTTTACAAAAGCATTGGCAGTGGGAGCAGCAACTGCCCCCTGGGGACTGAAGCCAAGCAGAGAATGGTGGGCTAGTGAGGAGTCTGAGCTGCAGAGGGCAGTAGCCTGGCCCAACATGCCCAGAGAGCAGACTGTCTAGGCACCCTGGGGAGGGACGGCCCCCAGAAGTTAACATACACAGACTAGTGGGGGTGGTGGGATCCGAGCCACTGTTCCCCCAGGCAAATCTTTCTCCTCCTTGGTCAGATTCCACTTTGGAGAAACGGGAACAGCACGGGTGAGGGGACACAGGTGCGAAGGGCGACACTGCTGGTGCTGGGGCGCAGGAGGGGAAGCCGGAGGCCGGAGCCCGGCCAGCTGGACACTAACCCCTTTGCAGCGACTGGCGTCTCCTGTTACTGCTGCATGGCTGCGCCTCTTAAATGCGCAGGGCTGTAAGACATTCAACTTCCAGTCCTGTCCTAGGGCAGGCCCCTACCGGTGTGGCCTCATCCCAGGACCCCACTATTTGGTGGCTATGACACAGGACACCTAGCCTTCTTGTGGAACAGTGCAGCGTCAGGCAAGGGAGAATCTTTTTCTAGGAGGGGCAGGAAAAGAAGAGAGGCCCACATGCTTCTTCCACTATACGGAGCCAGGCAAGGTCCCCTGGTACATGCCACTCTCTACAATGGGCTGGTCACAGCAACCGAGAAGCTGTCATGGTAACGAAGTCCTCAAAGCTGAGCCGAATGTTGCCCTGCACAGCTGTGTCCTTCTCCCGGAAGGCCTCCGTCAGCACCTGCAGCTGGGTGCACACCTGGATGAAGCGGTCTAGCTGCATGGCAGGATTGGCAGAGCGCGAGCAGTAGCGGGAGACCAGGAGCTGGGTAAACTGGGGGCTCAGGTTGTAGCCCATTTGGGACAGAGCTGGAGAGGAGGGGCACACAGCAGACACAAAAACTTGTCATGAGCATTGCCATCAACCAGCTCCCTGAGCGCAGCACTTCAGGGGACTTCACGGGGATTGGCATCGAAGCAGAAACAGGACAGAAGTCCCGAGGATTTATCCAAGATGGCAGGAGTACAACAGGGGCTCTGTGTGGATGCTTCCCTTAGCTGAAAGGCCCCATCCCTGTTTTTCTAAACCTCCACTACTGTCTGTTCAGTCAGGGGCCTGTGGGGTCCCAGAATGACACCAGACTATCTGTGCTCATCTCTAACTCACCTGAATTACAGAAGGAAGCCTGAGCCCCAGGGTGGAGGTCAGAGGCTGTGCAGCATAGGGGTTACAGGGCCTGCTCTGGAGTCAAGAGAGGCCCTCGGCAAGCTGCATAACCTTGTAATCCTCTGTCTTACATCTCTAAATGGGGATAATACTTATCTGGTAGGTTCTAGTAAGGATGAAAGGAGCAGATCATGCAAAAAGCACTTGGTAAAGTGCCTGGCACATAATAAGCATTCAGCGAGTATTATTTGTTAAAAATAATAAAATCATCATCATCTTCCCAGGCAAGGCTTCTGGGCAGTTCCAAGGTCACAGCCTACATGCTGCTGCCCCTGTTCCCCACACCTGGGAGGCTTCCTTCCTTCCTTTCTGCATAATCTACCAGCTCAGGCTAGAATCTCTGCTCCCCTTTTGGTATGTGGCCGTTGGGCAAGTTTCTCATGAGTAAAAGGCCAATCATAAGGGTAGGGAATAACAAAGTTACCTATCACATGGGGAGAATAAACAATGAAACATATTAAAAGTACTTATTACAGTGCCTGGCAAATAACAAGCATTCATCAATAAATATTAGTTTTGTTGTAATATCACCCTTACCAATATCCATGACAGGACCCCACAAGAGAGTAGGTGATCAGTACAGGTCATCTTCCCCTTCTGCCAGAGTGCAGATATGGTGAGCTCACCTCCACCCACAGAACTTCCTAGTCTGACTGAAATCCACGGCCAGGGCAAGGAGCTGGGTTCTCTGAGGAGCCCTTTCTCCCACCCAGGGGGCAAAGCTCCTTGTCAGGTTATCACCCCACTAATCACTCACCCTCTAGAATCAAAATTGGAACCAGACCTGGAGCTGTGACCTCAGGTCATCTTCCCAACTGCAACTTTTAGAGTGGTCTGGGTAGATCCCAGAGTTGGGAAGGAAACTGCCTTCTAGCAGAGCTAGCAACGGAAGCCATCTTGCCGAGCCCTGTCCAAGGCTCTTTCCATTCGGCATACTAGAAACTGGAGGGGAAAGAGCCATATGAGCCACACATCCTAGTTTCAAAGTGCTCTGGGCTGCAGAGTTTGCATCCCCATGGCTCCTTGCCAGCTGGGCCTGTCTCACCTAGCACTGCCAGGAGTCCCATCACCAGAAGTCCAGCCCCGATCCTGGATGCAGGTGTTTCCTTGCTCTGGCTCTTGGCTCAGTGCCCCAGCCAGGTCACAGAAGGAGTGGGAAGTGGGCCTGTGTCGAGGGCAGTAATTTTCAGTGCAGTTGGACATTTGGTATTAGTTGAGAAAAGCCCTTGCTCTATCTTAGGGAGCAAAGAGAAAAGTCTGGCTTTGCCTGTGCGCTGAGTGCCCTGCCATGGCCCTCACCTTGCTGCAGCTCTGTGTAGCTAATGGAGCCTGAGCGGTCCCGGTCGTACTGCTGGAAAAGGTTCTTCCACTGCTGAATGAATTTCCACAAGGCTGAGAAACCGTAGACATCAATGCGGCCTGACTTGGTCTTGTCAAACATGTCTGCAGGGAGGACAGGCGGAGGGAGAGGAGGGAAGTCAGGGTTCAAGATTGAGGGCCAAGGGTCCTTGGGTACCACTGAGGCAGCCCTTCTCCCCAGGCTGGAGTAGGAGACTCCACAGAACCACAGCCTTGAGGCCCAGATGCTAAATCCGAGCTACATCTTCATCATGTGGGGCACCAGCCCCCACCCCTGGCCACCCTCTGCCCCACCCCTGCCAGAACTGGCATTTTCTCTTCTGGCAGCTGACCCCGCGCCACCCCCCCACCCCCCATCTCCTACAAGAGCATGGACTCCCACTCTGCAGAATGGGAAACTGAGTTAGTCTGTGACTCAGCAGAGCCTAGAACTTAAGAAAAGACCTAAGGGAAAGCGCTCTCAGCCTAGGGCATCTAACTTTAAACCCAATTTCCTGCCTGAAATCCTTCCTGGCCAAAAGATTTCTCCTTAGAATGGTTGCCTACCTGCCTATTGTCACATCAGGTGGTTCTGCCCAGCCTGAGCACAGGGGGAAGGCTAGTACTCACTTATCATCATGAGGCACGTCTCGTCATTGAAAGAGGACCAGTTGGAGTTGACCAGAGCCTGCTTCAGCTCCTTGATGGAGATGTAGCCACTGTGATCAGAGTCCACTGACTGGAACCAGGAGTAAGCCTCAGGATCCACATTAGGGGGGGCGCCACCTGCAGGAAGGGGTGCAAACCAGGGGAGCCAGATGCAGGTCTCAAGGCCAATCTGCAGAAATGCAGGGAAGGGCCAGTCTCAGTGCCTCCCTGACTTTTGACTCTGCCCACCTCCAAGCCTCACGAATCCACTCCCCCCAGCCCCGCCTTCCATCAAGCCAGCATCCTTACACTGATGGAGAAGACCTTTGGTGTAGACTCAAGAGTACTGTGGTTGACTTCTACTTGTGAATCTGTTGGGCTTTCCCTATAGTGTGCCAGTCACATCTCTATTTGATTTTCAGTTTCTAAGGAACAGGGTCTTGTCCGGCTGATTAACAATTCTCTGAAAAGAGATTCTCTCTTCTCTACAGACTGGGACCCAAAAATGTTTGCTGAGCACCTAACAAGCACAGCCCAGAGACAAGTACCTGAGAGTCCCAGCAGCAGGGAGCTCTCTGGGGTGGGAGCCAGGTTTGATTATCCAGGCACAGTGGAGAGCTGGCACGGCCTACCAGGAGCTGCCAGAGTGTGCGTGACCATGGAGCTGCTCCTGTCTTCCTTCCCTACCACTTCCCACGTGCATGTGCATCGCCATCGCCAAATCTCCCTAAAGACATCTCTGACACCTCCTCATACCACACATGCAGAGAGCTGCCCAGTTCTGTCAGTTCCACAAACAGGTACCTCCTCCTTCTCCCTGTTCCTCCCGCACCTGCCCTGATTCAGATACCTCTCACCCGGACTGTTGTAACAAACCAAAAAGCCTAGCCGCATTATCCTTACAGTGACTCTGTCACACTGCACCTGCTACCAAGTAATCTTTGTATAACTGAACTGTGTTCTCACTGATTTACCCCGACCTCAACTCAAACTCTTCAACGGCTCCCACTGCCTATAAAATCAAGTCCCGTATCCTTAAAACAGCATTCCGGGGCCCCTACAATGGGGTCTATTCCTGCTTATCCCTCTCACTTTGTCCTCGCTGTCCCCCTCACACCTCTGCTCCAGCCCAGATGAAGCACTGCATTTGCTCTTACACACACCTGCACACTTCCACCAGAGCCTTTACTCACTCTGTTCTGCCTCGTACCCCTTCTCCTTCATCTCTTTGCATCCATTTCCTGTCCACCCTTCAAGATCCAAATGAAATGCTATTCATTCCATAAAGCTTTCCTATTCTTCTGTCCCTGGACAGGCAGCCTTCCCCTCTTCTTTCTACTCCTTCTCTTTTATGGCATTGCTCACTCCACTGTGGACATGTTTTTTTCCTACCACCTTCCAGGTTAGACTTGGAGCCACCTGTGGGCAGGATCCCAGCCTAACTCAGCTCCAAATCCCTAGGGGCCAGCACAGAGCCAGACGCAAAAAGGGAAGGGGCTCAATTCATGCTAAAGTTTGCCTAAGTTCAAGTCTCAGCTCCCCCATTTTGCAGCTCTGGTTATTATTTAAGTTCTCTGTGCATCGGTTTTCTTATATGTAAAATGAGGACACAACAGCATCTACTTCATAAGGTTATTGTGAAGATATAATGAATACATGAAAACCCTTAAATCAGCACCTGGCACAATCTAAGCACTATATAACTGCTGATTATTAGTGCCGTTGTCATGGTTCAAATAGCTTTGTGTGTCTGTCGGGAATATCTAAGTAGCTTTGAGGAAAAAAATCATTCACTTGGAAAGAGACGCAGGGTGAGCTGGGGGATAGGAGAAGGAGTGGTAGATGAAAGTGAAGAAGCACAGAAAACTGTCTTAGGAAAAAACCAGTTACACAGTATTGCCAAACCTACTGACTTAACTGGCCACAAAAGGGCTCCTCTACACAGGCAGGATCAGAGACAGCGTGGGCAGCTGTGCAGCACAAAAACCATCGCCCAGCCCCAAAGGTGAGGCCAGAAGTTTGTCTGACTGAGGGACTATTCTGACCCCCTTGGATGAAATCCAGGCAGACCCCACCTCCCTTCCTAAAACAGTAGCTTTGTCATGGGGGAGCGAGGGCCACAGCCCCTAGAACGGCTTCTGTAACATGTGGTCCCTGCCGTTTGCATGGAAGAGCTCAGGCTCTGGAAGCAAAGAGCTCTGATCCTTATTAGGTTGTGTGACTTTATATAAATTGTCTAATTTTCTGAGTACTGATTCCCCCATTTCTAAATGGACCTACTTCCCGGGGTGGTTGTGATGATTAAAGAGCAGCAAATCAAAATTTTAGCAAAGGGCCTGGAATATGTGCAGTCCCATTCCTGCAGAGGAAGGGATATTTGAACTGGGCCTGAAAAGATGTCTAAGAGTTGTGACAGGGAGAAGAAAAAGCATGTGGCAGAGGCACAGAGTGTGTTCAGAGTACTCCGAGGGGTCTTGGGTTAATGGGAGGGAGGGGCAATGCAGGAGAGGAGACTAGAAAGGCCCTTTAGATCTTGAGTGCCTTTAGGATCTTTCCTGTGGGCAGTGGGGCACCTTTATTGGTCAAATTTGTCTTGCAGAGCAGTGGTGCTCAAACCCCAGATCCTGGATTCAGTGGGGCTAAGGTGGGGCCCCCCAGGTGACCAGTGCAGGTGATTTATGCATCGTGCCTTAAAAAGCACTGCTCCAGAGGGCCGGCCACTAGCTGCACTGGAGAGGAGGCAATGGTGGCCAGGTGAGAGGAAGCTGCAGAAGGTGAGCAGCTAAGAGCCTGAGATACATCTCTCCTCCCCTCTGCAGCCTGAGATTCTCTCTGGTCTCAGGCCTGGGAGAGATAAGCCTCACAGCCAGCTCCTTTCCCTGCAATAACATTATGTAGGCTCAGAGACAAGATTTTAAAAGGATGAGGAAATCCACCATGAAGCTGCTGAGCTGAAAGCAATCGGCCAGAAGCTCTGGGGTCTGATAAGATAAATGCCCTGGCTCACAGTTTAGAACCCTCAAGGTTTGACCATTTCCCTCAGGGCCTCCCGCCCAGGTATATATGCTGAGATGCTTCAGCTTCCCAGCAGCGCCATTCCCTAGAGACGCTTCAGGTACACGAGAGTGGTCCAGGCTGCCACTGGCTTGGTCCCCTGGGAACAGCATACTGTGAAGAGGCTGACTGAACTGAGTTTGGAAGGAAGCAAGGGACTGGACACTCGCCTTCCCTGATCCCGTCTAAGACCACTCAGAAATTTTCAGAGTCCAAAGTCCCCACCCAAGATTCTCTGCCTCCACTGAATTGCCAAAGCCCCCTCCCCATTTCTCACCCTGTCCAGTATCTTACCTTTAATATCTCATCCCAACAGTCTCCTGCCTGCCTCTGCATCTTTCAGTAGTAAGGCTCTTGCCACATCTACTGTCACATTAAATGCTAAATACTTCTTTGCTAAGAACGCCCCAGCATGAGTCCTCTCACAGAATACAGATTAAGCTCTTCCCATGTGCCCATGTCTACCTGCACCTTCTCACTTCATCCTTATTAACAATGTTGCGAGGTAGAGACATTCACCCATTTTTCAGATGTGGACACTGAGGCTTACAAAGGCGACGTAATTTGGTCAGGTCAGTAAGTAGTCTGATCTCAGAAGCCCAAGCTTGCAATGGCTATGCTACCTTGCCTTTCTACATAGAGTGGTCCGTCCCTCTTACAAAGAAATGGGGCTTCTCCCCATGTCAGACTATATTACTGTCTCTAATTATTTGCTAATCTCCATCCCCTTCCCTTATAAGAGCATTGTGTATCCTTTCCACTGCTTGGTGGATTGCAGAGCCCCTTCATTCCCATCTTATTGATGTCAGGCTTGACTAGGGGATGTGGTTTGGCCAACAAAACATAAGCAAAAGAGATATAAAGTACTTGAAAGCACAAGCTTTGAGAGGCATCATGCATTTCTGTTAGTTTTCCTGCCCTTTTTTGGCTGACACAAGAACAGCATATCTCAAATAGGAGCTGCTCTTCCAGCCTGGATCCTGGAAAGAAAAGAGCAGAACCTCAGCAGCCAAATGCATAGCTGCCGACATGTAAGCAAGAGTAAATAAGTGCGAGCAAGCAATACATTTATTTGTTTGTTGTTGCAAGCCAAAGAGACTTTGGAGTTGTTGTTACCACAGCAAAGCTAACTACTAGACTTCTCCTTCTGCTGACGTGAGCTGAAGCTAGAAGCAAGATGCTAAGAGGCCGGAGATAAGGCTGCCTGCACGTCAACAGGAAAGGCAAGGATGGGCCCTGCGCAACTCAGCACAAGGTCAGGGGTTCCTGGAGCCCAAGATCCCTACTTACCTGGAGGAGGTCTCTGTCCATAAGGCCCAGGATGCTGAGCACCGTAGGAATTTGGAGGTGGCTGACCATAGGGACCCCCTGGGGCTGTACCACCATATGGTCCTCCCGGAGCTCCAGAGGGGAGTCCCCCAGGGTTGGGGTGCCCATAGGGCCCTCCACCACCTGGTGGTCCATAAGGCCCTCCAGGAGCAGGGCCTCCTCCATAACCGCCACCAGGGGGTACCCCACTGCCATACTGCCCTCCACCAGGGTAGTAGCTACCCGGAGGCGCTCCAGGCGCTTGTCCTCCAGTTCCTGGGCAGCCCTGCAAGAAAAGCAAGATATTGGTCAGAATGACAGGGCCAGAAACTAGCCACAGCATGGCACTTGACAGTTATAAAGCACTGCCACTGCCATTCTTTCAACTGATCCTATATGCAGGGCTGGAATTATGACCCCATTACTCAGATGGGGAACCTGAGGCTTCTAGCGGGGATACAACCTACCCAATGTCACACCACCAACGACCAGCAGTCAGGGCTAGAATCCTACCCTCCTGGCTCCCCTTCCCCGCACACTAAGGGGGCTCCACAAGGGCTGGGATCATATCTGGTTTGCTACTTTATCTCCAGCCCCAGTGTAGGATGGATGCTCAGTAAATATTTATTGTATAAACAAGTAGGCAAATGAATCCAAGAGAATTCCAAATCCTCGTCCCATGGTACCTTCATCTCCATCTGCAGAATTCCCTGTGCATAAGTGATCTCCACCATGTGCCCCCGACACTCTTCAGTCACATAGTATGGATTCATCCTTAGCATGTCTTCCTTACCCTACTCTAGCTCATGATGCAAAAATATTTCCCCATCCTCACTCATGGCTCTGTGAGACAGGCAGGCAAGTACAATGGTTACAAGTCAAAAGGACCAGTCCAAGTTCGGGTTAGGCCACTTACTAATTGATCTACTGACTTACTCTCTCGAAATCTCAATACCCTGTGCTCTAAAATGGGAATAATAGTTCCTGCCTACCGCCCAGGTTGGTATGTGAATGAAATGAGACCAGTCACATAAAGAGCTTTGACATAGACCCCGGCACAGAGTAAGCACTCAATGCACATTAACTATTAATAACAGCACCCTTCTATAGAGCAGAAAACTCAAGTCCAGAAAAATCACACACAGACTGTATGAAGAGACTGGGACCAGAATTCAGGTCTCCTGACTGCTAAGCCCAGGCCATCTGTATATTAGAGCACATAGGGGAGCATTCTCTCTCCTATCCATGTCCCCACACCTCCAGCCAGGGATCCCTGAGGCTCAGAGTCTTCAGCTCCATCTCCTTAAACGGCCAGCAAAAGGCCCAGCAGAGCACAGCTCCATCACATCTGTGGACAGGTTGAGCTCAAAGGTACACAGAGCAAACAGCTGGCCCCAGTTCTGAGGATTGTGAGGACGGTGTCACCTAGACATCTTCTAGATCAACCTGCAAGGTACCCCAGTGGCCTAGTCACTGAGAGCCTGGAGCCTAGACTTTCTCTTTTTATTGTGTTTGATAGCTTCTGGGGGTGTTACCCTCAAGGCTAAGGCCAAATCCACACTTCACCTGATAGGGGGTCTGCTTGCTTAAAGAAGGAAGGCTTCTTGAGGGAGGACAGGAAGCAGGCCCTTCCACCTTCCCTACTCAGCATCATGGGAGCCCTTCTGCCTTGGAAGCTAGTAGCAAGACTCCTTCACAGACAGTGAAGTCAAAGGCAAATAAATCTCTGCTCTCCCCAGCTGAGTTCATGACTGTAGGTCAGTGGCTTAATCTCTCTAGCCTATTTCCTCACAAGTAAACTATAATAATTCCTTCCTCATGGAATTGTTCTGCAGATGATAAGAAATAAATTCAGCAGAATTTTGTTGGTTTCATTTTTAGCTAAAGAATCTTTTGATAAAATAAAAATTTTAAAACTGATCAAAGAAAGTTGCTCTGGCTGAAGTAAGGTGGGGATTCCAGAGTCCCCACCATGCAGGCCCCTCCCTTGCTAGATTGTAAGAGAGCTCTAAAGAAACCTCAATGACTCAAAAGACAGTTTGAAAACCATTAATATAAAAACAAAAGTTCTTACAACAGTGCCTGGCATAAAGAAGATTATCAATAAATCACAGTTGCTACTCTTATTATTATACTATTATTATCAGCAAAGCCCTGAGCCAGGTAAACTCAGGGCAGGGCAGGGGCGGGGGACATAAAGGAGAGTGAAACATTCTGAAGGAGCTCACAGTTAATAGGAGAGGAATGGAAACACTCTCTATAACATCTAAAAAAACAGCATAAGGAAATAGGCATTTAAAATGGACGCATAAGCCATGTGCCATAGCATCACAAAGGAGAAAGCATGAAATCAGGGAGGGTTTCCATGAGAAAGCAGCATTTGAGCTGAGACTTAGAGTGAAAAAGATTCCCAGGGAAGTTGGAGAGGTGTGATAGAAGAGGTGGCTAGGAGGTCAGTTACCTAACTTAAACCCTTCAACTTACAGATAGAGAAACTAAGGCAGGAGAGGGGAAGGGACTTGCTTGGGTCATACTGAAGAGCTGGAGACAAGTGGAGCAAGTTCACTCCCACCCGCACCTAAGCCCAATGACTCCCATGGCCTCCTGCTGCAGCCTTCTCACCTTAAGCAATAGGGCACAAGATTCCAGGTTAAAATAGAAAAGCGGGTGGGGACTCTGCAGAGTCTGGGCATACCCAAAGACCAGGCTGCACACCAAGCCAGGAAGTAGCTGCTCTATAATAACTCCTGTGAACAAAGCCATAAACTAGATCTGGCTTAGGACACCTAAGGCAGTGGTTCCCAACCTTTCTGGCACCAGGGACCGGTGCTCCTATGAGAATCTAATGCCTGATGATCTGAGGTGGAGCCAAGGTGGTGATGCTAGCGCTGGGAGCGGCTGCAAATACAGATGAAGCTTCGCTCCCTCTCTCGCTGCTCACCTCCTGCAGTGCAGCCCTGTTCCTAACAGGCTACCAACAGGTACCAGTCCATGGCCTAGGGGTTGGGGACCCCTGACCTAAAGCACAGCGGCCCCCCAATGAAATACCCCCAGGCCAACAAAGCACATGCGGCCAGGCAAGTCTTCCCTCCATATTATATTCTTGGGGGCCTCGTGCAGCCTGGGAGCAACTAAACTCTTTCCTTTCTGCCCTGCATTAAAGCTCTCATGTGAATAGTTTACAAAGCACTTTCACATACACACAAACGCTACTGACAGAATCCAGCCAACAATCCTGTAACAGAAAAAAAGGAAGCCATTAGTAGGCCTATTTTAAGATGAGGAAATTGAGGTGCACAACTATTAAAAGATTTCATTCAGCAAGATTTACAGAGTGACAATACTGTGCTAGGCTCTGTGCTAGGCCTGGGGGCACAACATTAAATAGGGCCTGTCCCTGGGGAGCCCACAGATAATTATGATACAGTCTGATCAGTGCCAGCAAAAAAATCTACTTAAATGCTATCAAGGAGGCATAAGCAGAGGAATTTGTTCTGTTTGTTAAATGATAAATGAACATAAAATGAACAAATGTATGAAATGGGTCAAGGAAGGCTTCCTGGAGGAGGCAGGAGTAACACAGGAGCTGGCACTGAAGGATGCATAGGCCTTTTCCAAAATGAAGGCAGAGGATGACATTCCAGGACAGAAGGGAGAAGAGAGACAAAGGCACAGGCCTATGAGCGAACAAGGAGTGGTCAAGGAATGGGCTAAAAAGCAGGGGGCAGGGGCAAGAATGCAGTGTGAACTCAAAGGCAGGCTCTTACACACTCCTTGTCCAAACACCTTTCCTGCTGCTTTTCAGTTAGCTGGTGAGTTACTGGTGTCTTAGAGTAGTTTCTGTCCATCTATGGTCTCCTCCACACAACAGTAAGCACCCCAGGGACAGACACTGGGCCTCATTCATCACCGTACCCCAGGGTCCAGCACAGTGCCTGACACCTGCAAACCTCCATAAATATTTGAAGAAATGAATACCACTCTAAAGAATTTGGGCTTTATGCTGGAGGAAACAGAGCGCCATAGAAGGGTTTCCAGTAGGGGAGGAACGTGATCAGAGCCTTGTTTAGAGAATTAACCAGCGGCAGTGTGGAGGATGAGCTAGTAGGGGAGGCAGGAGGCCAGGCGCTGGGCAGGCAGGACTTGAATCAGAGAGCAGATTCTGAGATAGAGAGAACAGGATGGATTCTGAAGCTATTTCAGAGATAGACTAGACATGACTTGGCAACTAATTAGATTAGGGAGGAGATGGAGCAGGGAGTGAGAAAAGGCCAAGTGTTTAGAATGACTCAGGTTTCTAGCTTGCACAAGATGAAGGAAGTGGAGCTACCAACTGAGGCAGAATCCCGGCTAGAAAAATGGTTCCCAGGGTCACCGAGTTGTTAGTAAAGATTCTGAATCAAAAATGAAAATCAGAGTCGCTGACTCCAGGTTCTTTAATGCTACTCCATGCTGCCAACCCTTTTGAGAGGTTTTCCAGGAGCATTTCACACTAATAAACATAAGATAGTGAAAGGGAAAAAAAATACAGGAAGAGTTCAGTAACCATGGTTCCCAAAGCTTCACAGAAATATCTGAGTGGGGGAGGAGCAATTAACATTTTATCGAGACTCTGCTAGATACTGCCATTTCAACTGGCTCTCACTGATGCTCGGTCCTGTGAGGTAAGTGATATTATCCCTAGTTTACGGATGAGCAAATTAAGGTGCACGAAGTTTAATACTGTGCCTATGATGACACAACTGGAACAGGTGAGGTGGGATTTAAATCGGGGTCTGCATGACTACACTCCACTACCCTCTTCTGTGTATTCAATAAATGACTGGGCTTCGACCATGTGACAGTGCCAAGGATTGTCCTAAATGTATCTGTCAAATATAATGGATTTCTACAGTGGAAGAGGTTTAAGGAAGAGGGCTGGATTAGGAGTTCTTTTAGAGGCATCACGCCCAGAAATCAGGGAGACTCAGAAGAATCTTATTCTTTTTTCACCCCAGACCCAAACTGAGAGCTGCAGTATTGGAGGAGATCCCAAAGACTCTACAGTCTAACCTCTCAGTCAGTGTTGGAATCTCTGGAATCTGTCTATATACCTGCAAGTGGTGGGGAGCTCATCCCATCCCACGTAAGCCACTCAGAAAGTCCTATATTTTCTTTTGGCTCTGAGGGCTCATTCTTCTACCTCCAAAACTCTTGTGAGGTTAAAGGTTGGTCCATGCTGAGTCCTGACGGGGAAGAGAGCAGGCAACATTGCCAAGATAAGCCTGTGCTCTGGAGCTACCCCTCAAGTGCCCACTGGAGGAGGCTAGAGCCCATTCTAAGGGGTTAAACAATCACAAGACATAGGAGTGGTTTGGACTATCACCAACAGAGCCTCCCAAAATAGTTAAAGGCCAGAAACCTGCAGCCATTAGACAGCGAGCCAATAATGGTCCCAAGATTTCAATTACCACATCTGTGCTGACGCTCCAAATGTGCCGTCTTTCCCTCCAGCCTCATCTCTCCTGTGCTGCAGACCCAAGTATCCAACAACCTCCTGGACATTCCTTCCAATTCTATTCTTCCCTGTGTTCCCATCTCAGCAAATGGGAAACCCTAGTGCCCTCCTGGGCATCTCCTCTTTCCTCCCGTCCGACGCCTCAATTAGGCACCAAGTTTTCTCAACTCTACCTCCCAAATGATTCTCAAACCATTTTCACCAGGTCACTGTCTCTCTAACCTAGATTAGTTCAATAGCTTTGAAACTGGTTTCCCTGCCTCCAGTCTCTCTTGCTTCAACTCATTTTCAGTGCCCCGCGGCAATAGCTCCAAAGCACAAATGGGAGAAAACTCTTCAGCGGCTCCCTCACTATCACTACTCTTAGGACAAAGTCTACACTCCTCAAAAAGACATCTGATACTTGCTTACCTGTCTGGTCTCATTTCTTACCCCTTTCCCTCTCTTCATAGCAACTGGACTAATCTAAAATTCTCCCCAAATACTGGTCTCTCTCACTGCTTCCCGGTCTTTGTGCATACTATTCACTCTACTGGAATACCATTCCTTTCTTCATTCAGCTACCTCCTAGTGGAGATTCAATTTTGGGCTTAAATGTCACCTCCTTTAAGAAAACTTCCTGCCCTCAAGACTGAGTTAGGTATCCCTGCTGTTTCTGTCCTAGTACCTTACACTTCCACTTAATACTTACAGACTTACTCTACAATTTATATATCTGTATGACTCTTCCACTTGGGAGTATTTACTTTATGCCAAAACACCGTATCAAATACTTTACATGGATTATATCATTTAATCTTCAAAGTAACTTTTGAGGTGGGCACTCTTATGACCCCATTTTAAAGAAGGGGTAACTGAGCCTCAGATTTTTCCCAGAAATTTCCGCAAGGAAATGGCAGAGCAGGGATTTGAAGCCAGATCTCTTTGGCCTCAGAGACCAAGCTCTTCAGCACTGAAACCCATCAAGCTGGCTCCCTCACAGGACCAAAGGGTATCTGAGTTTTACTATTCCAACACCCAGTCAATGCTTGAGGACCCTGGTGCAGTGGAAAATTACAGTTTTGACTCCTAACAGTAGGCTGGAATCCTCTAGGGCTATGCACTAGGTGGAGAGGAGGTGGCACTAAGTCTTTGGATGTTTTAAAACAACCCAGTCCCTTTCTTGTACCAGAAAGGAGCTGGACAGGAGAACAAGGGCATGATGGGGGAATAAAGCAGTTTTTCTTCTATTCCAGACATGTTTCTCTCTGTGCTCCTTTTCAATATTTCACTGAGCATAAGCCCAAGCAGCATGGCATGATAACAGCGATCACAGCAGGAAGAGTTATGCCATCATGCACTGGCACGAACTGTGTATTAGCAATGTGCCAAGCTCTCCATAGGCTTTATCATATTTCATCCTCATTTCAGCCCTAAGAAGTATTAGTCTTCTCTTTTTATAAGTAGGAGACTGAGACTCAGATCCCTTAGATGATTTGTCCAAGGGCATATAACTATTAAGTAGAATTAGGATTCCAGCTCCATTCTGTCTAAACTGGAAGTTCAAGCTCTTGATTTCTATGTCACTGCTTCTCGGATGCATACAAATTACCTCTAAAAGCTTATTAAAACGTAGATGCCTCGGCCTTTCCTAGGTGCAGAACAAGTCTAAGGTAGAACCCCCAAATCTGCTTTTTTTAACAAGCTCCTAGGTGATTCTGATACAGACCATCCACTGAGAAACAATAGCAATGATTTCCCAAACAGTGTTCCTTAGGAATACTAGTGTCACCAAAAGATGACCAAACATTAAAAAAAAAAAAAAAGAGTGTATGTGTATGAGAGGGTTCCATGGCTAAGTAAGTTTGAAAAATACTGCATATCTATCCCTCTCTGGAATATTTATAATGGATTAACAAATTAAGAATTCTGAGCTGCCCTGTGGTGAACAAACTTATTCAGCAGTATTTAACAGAGTAATCCCCAAATTAAACCACAGAGCCCTCCTCTATTAGCAATTCCTATTAACGTCTCACAAGACGCAGCAAATGGAACGAAGCTTGGGAAACACTGCTTGGTTATACCTCCTCCTAACTCCAGCTGTGTGGGCCTCTCTCTTTTCTCCCTCTACTAAGTATACAATAAAAGGAGTTCTAAGTCTAGTTCTGGCCTTATCTCCTCACTTGCTATGTATGACCTCGGACAAGCCACCTAACCTCTCTGGGCTACTTCCTTAGCTATGAATTGGGGGTAATACTCCCTGCTACCATGCCTACAGGGCCTTCATGATTGAGACAATGGAGGTCCAAATACTTTGTACAAAAACTCCTGCATGGGTTTTATCCCCTAAATTAGTGTGATCTTGGGTAACTCAAGAGTGCTCTCTGGGCTCAGTTTCCTCCTTTTAAAATGAAGGGACTATTTTGAGGGTCCCTCCCAGCACTCTTCTAGGAGTCTAGTAAAAATCAAAATACTAAAAGGTAGCACCTGTTATACTTTTAGTAGTACCAAATGGTTTACAATCACTTCATTACTCTTCATAACAGCGCTATTAGGTAAACCCTATTACATGGCCCTCCTTTACGGAGGAGGAAACTTCAGCTCAGAAAAGCAAAATCTCTTGCTCGGGGGGTTCAAAACTATTTAAGTGATGGAGCCAAGGTGTGAACTTTCCTCTGACTCCAAACTGTACTTAACCATTCTACCATTCTGTCATCCAACAAAGCATTCTGACCGCAGCATCACTTTGCTGTGTTCTTGGCTGGATCAAAATGGGCTGGTAAGTAGGTAAGAGGTATTGGCTCACAGCTTCCGGGTCTGCTGCCTAACTGCCTGGTGACTTCGCTGTGTCTTCTATGGGTTTCACTTTTCCTATGTGTGAAATGGAGGTGTTGGGCTAAGTAGTCAAACAAGCTCACTTGTGGATCCTGCTAAAACTACAGATTGTCCTGATTATTCGGACGCAGTACATCAGGGGTGTATTTTTATCTCAAATGATACCCACGGATCACTGTTTTAAAAGTTCTGTTGTCGTTGATGACCCCGCCCCAGGGCCCCCTCGGGAGCCTTGGGAAGGCGGGGGGCCCAGGCCGAGCCCAGCTTGTGTGTGAGGTCCAAGGTCCCCAAATCCTCAGGTGCGCGACGTCAAAGGGGGCGCGACATCACCTCTCAGATGTGTAGACCTGAGTGACGTGAGATTGGAGCGACCGATATCCCTTTCCCCTTCTCTCCCGCGCGAGACCTCAGTGTGGGAAAGGCACAGAGGAAGCTCGGAGAAAGCAAAGCCTAAACTTGGAAAGGCACCTGCCTGGATTCGCCCGCCCCTCACAAACTCACCTGCCCGTACGGATAGCTGGCCATGGCGATTTTGACGTAACATGTCGACGAGGGCGGGGCTTCTCGGTGTCAGGCCCGCCCCCGCCTTGCTGGTGGGGAAGGCCCGCTTTTGATTGGATAGCCGCGACTGTCAATCCTGTGCACTTGGGTCGACGGAAGTGACGTTGTAGGGTGGTGGTCTGGTGCCTTTTGGAGAGGCCTGAAGAGCTAAGGGTCGGGTGGCGGTTTCCTAAAATCTTGTGCGCCTTACTGGCATGGCTGTTCCTTTCTTTCCTGGTGTAGAGAAAGCCCCAAAGCTCGTCAGGCCCAGGTATTTAGTGAGAAGCTTGGGTGGGGTGTTGCAGCGGTAGCCATGTTTTAACCTGGCAAATGGGACGCATGATAATGGCGTAGTTGCTGGTCTCACTCCAAGTTTCCGCCCGAGGAGTGCCCAGGCAGTTACTGTGACTGTGGGGAGTAAACCGAGGCCTCCTGGAAAGGATAAAGGCAACGGCTGAAGTACTTCGCTCAAATGTGAAGTTACCACATGCCAGTTAGTAGCTTTGAAGTGGGATTTGTCGTCTTTGGAGAGGAAAATCCCAAACTGTCAGACTGGAAGAGGAAAATTAGATCATCTAGGGCCTCTTCTTTCATAAATGGGGAACCCGAAGTCCAGAGAGGCAGTGACTTGCCCTAGTTTACAGTGGGTTAGGGACAGAGTGTGGCCCAGAACGGGTCATAGATGCCAGTTCTCAGCAGAGAAATCTTGACTGGGCAAATCCAGGTTACTAAGTGTACTTACTTGCCACTTGGTTCAAGCTCTACACTCGTTTGTGTGCTTATTTGATTAGTTCGTTAAATTCTTCCATGTAGGCACAGATTGTTTCTGGTTTTGCTTGTTCTATCCCCAGTACCTAGTGCAGTGTCTGACAGTGTATTTAAAAAAAAAAAAAAAAGTGAATAGCGTTATGAGGTTAGATAGGTCTCCATTCTGGCCCACCTGTCTAACCATGTAGCCAGTTTCAAAAATCACAGTGCTGATCATGCTACTCGCCCACTGGACAGCCTACAATGGCTCTTCTTCATCTGCACCTACAATATAAGCTCCAGCCCCTTCATTCTGACACTCTGGGCCATTCACAATTTAGGCCACCCTCCCTTTTCCGTTTTATGTCTCCTGTGTTCAGTTCCACCATTCAGGTTTGGAGTGAGGATTTTACCACTTTCAAACTGTATGATCCTGGGCAAGTTATTTAACCTCTCTGAGTCTCAGTTTCCTCAGTTGTCAGAAACAAATATGTAGAGATTTGAAAAATGAGCTTATTGTGCCTGTTTATGCCCAGACTTACGCTGAAACCACTCCTTTCACCAGACCAGCAGCCTTTCCATCACCATGGTCTGCCTAACCCTCTCACATCCCCCCAGCTCCAGAGTTAGCCACTCTCTTGCCTGCCTCCCTTTGCACTTGATATTGTCACTTCACTATATTCCAGCCTGCCTTGTATAAGAGTTGTCTTTGATATTTTCCCCAAAACTCATTCCTCTCCTTCATCTCAGAAAATCTACCCAGTCTCTCAGGCCAAAAACACCTAGGAACATTCTTGTGTGGCCTCTGTTTCTCCACACACTCTCTCACCTCCATTTACTCAAGTTCAAAAATAGACCTACCTCTGCTTTTTTCTCCCTGTTGGCACTATCACCCTCGTCCAAGATACTGTCATCTGTGG